GTAAGACTACAGTATACTATTCATCTAATATACAAAATATGTGTTAATCAACTGTTTATATTATCAGTAAGGCTTCTGGTCGACAGTAGACTATTAATAAAGTTTCAGGGGTTCAAAAGTTTTGCAGGGGGGTTTGAACCCCCAACCCCAGCATTGTTCAAGAGTCAAATGTACTCCCAAATCCAAGTAGTATATAATGTAAATATAGACATTAAAAAAAATTTGAACTATACGTGCCTTTCCTCATTGTAATTCTTAGGAAATACTGTAAAAAAATTTCTTTTTTTGAATAAAATACCATAAACTGCATTCAGAAGGGGTGAAGCTAATTTTAAATTTATTAAGCTTGCCCTTCCATATTCATTAAAATGGTTTTTGGTTTTGATTTTTGCCTTATTTTAAAAAATGTACTATGATGCCTTTTACTGTCCTTTAACAATAAGAGATTTAATAACCATCGTGGATGTCACAGAAGGCAATGTGAGAGAAGGTTCTAGGAAGTGAACACACAATCTGGGGTCTGATTATTCCCTGCGTGCAGTTTTTGTGGGTGTCCGTGTGGGGGGGAGGAGTCTACTTTGAAGGGGAGAGTCATCGGGTCAGGGAAACTGGTCAGCTTGCTCTTGGCTGTGCCCTGGCTCCCCGCCAGGGAGGAGGGTCAAAGAGGCAGAGACCCAGCGGGACGCGCCTGGGCAGGTGCAGGTCTCAGTCTGGCTGAGCCGAGCTGCCAAACCCTCCCCGCCACAAGGGGCCTCTGGTTTTCCTTTTAGGGCAGAGAGCCGCTCCCCTGCCCGATTTACAGTGCCCGGGGTGGGCTTCAGCAGTGCAGGGCAGAGCGTGGGTGGGTGACCGCTGCTTCTCAGGATGGTGGCTGCGAGCTGCAGCTGGGCGCGGGAGGTGCTGATCACCGGGCGCCCACATTCTTCCTCCCAGTGAAGGCAGTCTCTGCTGGGACCGCACCTATGCCTGTGGATTCTCCAGGACAGCCAGCACAGAGCCCAGGACAGGGTCGGCCGCAGTCAGGGGACGGCCAGCTCCAGTGGCTGCAACTCGCGGCCACGTTGGGGTGGGGTATCTGCGAGTCCCGGGCCGGGCTGGTCCCTCCGGGCGGGTGGCTCTGGATGCAGGACGCGCCAGGGGGAGAGCGGCCGGGGAGGTCGCAAGCCTGGACGGTGGGGCTCCAGGGAGCTGGGGTGCGGGTGGGGCTTGTGGGAGGGTGGGGGCTGGCTGGGACATGGTCAGGGCGCCGCTTTCTCCTGGCACCTGGCCGGTGGCCCTGTCGGGCCGCCCAGTCTCATCAGGTGTTTATAATGAATTTTAAGAATTTTTATCTATGTGGGCTGTTAGCTTACCTCTGATCCGAAAGTACTGTAAGACAGAAACTTTAACTCCCGCTGATTTTAACACCTATTAGGTGGGCCCTAGATGCTACTCCTGATGCACATACTCATTTTTCATCTTACTTGGAAGCCTACAGCACTCTCAACAAATTCATCTGTCAAACTCATGAAAAAGGAAATAAAGAAATTGCAATTATTCCATTTCTGTTGCTCACCCCTTTCACAATAATTCATTTGGCTTTGGGAAAAGTAAGCCCCAATCTGGAATGCAAGTTCACAAGGGAAGGGAATTCAGTGGGCTATGTTCATTGATGGATCTCAAAAGTTAAGCACAGGGTGGGCACACAGTAGGCATTGGTTAACATGCCCCCTACCACATTCTCTTCTCCCCATCCTGCTGTCAGTGCGGGATGCCAGTTGGAGATGGAGATGGTGCATATTCAGACACTGGCTAGTGTCCAACCCTGAAAACCATTTGAGCAATAGCTGTTTTTCATAGAACCCCTTCCCACAGCCAGAAACACTCAGGTTTAGTTCTTCCCTAAATCCCAAACTTCAGTACTGAAGTGATAGAAACCACAGTTTTGAGTGATAGCTTCCTACAGTTGGGGCCTGAATGGAAGAGGCATTGCAGGAAATGCTGAAAAAAAATAAGTATATTTATATTTTCTTTTGCATTTCCTTTTAATCACCAACTATTAGGAAAAATATGAGTTGCTGTATACCACAGACTGTTGGGTGGTTATTTCTGGGTGATAGGCTGATAAATATTTTTACTTTTATTTTTATAAATTAGCGTATTGTCTGAAAAGTTTTTTACAGTTACCATTTATTTCTTTTATAATCAACACAAGACATATCCATTTTGGAAACAAAAAGCAAATAAAGTGATTTTTAAAAAATGCAAAGAGGTTAATGCTGATTATCCTAAAACTGTTCGTATTTTACTTTTCCTTAGCTCCTAGCCTGGCACACAATTGGCATTCAGTAAATACCACTAGAATGAATGAATGAATGAATATCCTTTCTGTAGTCTCTCTCAGAGGAAAAACATGTTCATTTAACTTGCCTATTTTTCAAGAAGTCCATACTGTGATTTTGAATATAATAAGCTGAAGATTTCAGAATAAAAAGTTGCCTGCAGTTACAGGACTGTCCTTTCCTTCACCTGCCTGTCCTCATTCAACATCTGCTATATATATTTGTTTTTCAAATTGGCTATTGTTAGCGATTGGAGCAGTTTGAGACTTGGGCATTCTGAGTGACTTTGAACTCCAATTCAGGGTAATTGGTCTGTTTTTTTTGGCCTGTGACTTCATCCAGAATATCCATGCGCTGACTGCTCTGTAGTTTTTAACAGAACTTCACTTCTCAGGGTAGTGGCCTATAATAGTCTTCAGCCCAACAGTCGAATCTCTAAGTTTCTTTTTCTTCCCACCTTTCACTTCCTCTTCTGAATAGAGGACTTTGTGAAGGGACCAGGTGCTTCCGGGGAAGGGACTTAAGCACAGAGAACTGAGCAGAGAGGGGGGCCCCATCAGGTTTCTCATGCTATTTGAAGTTCAAAGTTCGAAATTCATCTCTAGTGAAGTATACTTAAGCCAGTGGGGAAGGCTGCTCTATTCAGCGAGCCCAGGAGAGCCCTAGGGGGATCCAGCACCCCAGACTTCTATTTGGCCGATTTAGCTTAACCTGGAAAGGTTCTTGTAACCTCTCACATGAAATTTCTTACTGGAGGAAATAAAGTTTAAGACTGAGAGGAGATTGCAAACACACTTACTTTTATGCAGCTCTGTGGTTAAAATATCATTTCAAAAGTCTAGGGATCCTTTAAGTTGCAACAAAATATACAGCAGAAACAAGTGCAAAATGTCCCCAACAACAGCAAATCTCTTTGCTTCAGCCATTAAGTATCTTGTTTTTAACCGGAGCCTTTCAAGTAACTTAGCAAAAACCGGGTGGGGGTAGCTAACAGAAGAAAACTTTCCTGAAATATCTTCAGCGCCAGTGATGTTTCTAAGCATTTCTGGGACCTTATCTACAAAACCTGTCTCTTCCATTCAGTAGTCCTCAATGCTTTGCGTGGGTAAAGGGCCTTGGGGAGCCTGTCTGCCATGTAAAGGCCTGGGCCCTGCGCTGGGCTGTGGGCTGCGGTGCAGGAATCTGTGCAGAGCACCCACAGGGTTGCTGCCCCGACGCCATAGGTGCTGTCGTGTAAAGTAGAGAAAGGTGGCCTTTCGGCGCAGACACAGCTTGGTGAGAGTAAGGAAAATGGTATCCTTTCTCCAGGCAGGGCAGCTCAGGCCAGGGACTCCAACTCGCCCGAGAAGCGCAGACTGAACTAGCCCCACGTGCTCCTCTGCCGCTGCTGATTGCGGAGCCCTGGCATTCAGGACACTCCAGTGCCAGCAGCTTTGCAAGCACGCTTCATACCCCACTGCCCTGGGCCTTTCATTTCTCTTGTGTTATAGATAACTACAGAGCCAATTCAGCTCAGCAAACAGTGTGTGTGAAAGGCTTGCCCTTGCTTTGGTAGGGAGAGTGAAGGAGGTGTCCGGAGCTCCTTCTCCAGGGCCAGCAGAAGCCCATCACTAAGGGACTTCCAGCTGTTTCCTCCTCAGTACCACCTTTGATCTTGCAGGAACAGAGAATGATGAAAACAGTTTGGCTGCGGCCATTCAGTAAAAAGGAAAAATGGAGGCAGGAGGAATCGAAATGGTAATCTCCGTGGACAAGGTTTGAAGAGCAGCCACAATTCCTCTCTTTAGAAGGCTTCTTTCACTCAATGGCCTCAATACCAAGAAACCTTGCAGAATTTAGCTCATATTTTAAATATCCTAATTTCATCCATTAGTCTTAGTTTACAACCAACCTTAAACCTGTTTCCCCTGTCTTGGCACACCTCACTCTTGAGAAGGACAGACCATCATCTTATTAATATTAATTACTAGTATTAAAATTCAAATTATACATAACATTAATCAACATTATTACTGTTAATCAATCTGGGTGCTAAATATATTGCTCAGATTTCCCGCTTCTTTCTAGTGCTCACTGACATGAAATTTGAATTTTTTCTGCTTTGATTAAAACATTCCCATTTCATAATCTCTCATCTCATAAGCCATACATGTAGGGTAACATGTCAACACATACAAATAAAACACCATAAAAAATGCATTCTACTGTTTTTCTTACTTTCATTATGAAAATTCAAGGATTCTCATGATTCATCATCTGAATCTATAAAAGACCCTCTCCTGTTTCTAAATATTTTAAATGAGTAAAATCTTTTCAAAGCACAAAGAAATTGGACCAGCATAAGTAAACATGAATATGCACTGAAATGAAGAGTAGAATTAATTATTCAGTTAGTAAACACAGAATCTAATACGTTTCCTCCTGAAAGCAGTCATTGATCAGGAGTCAAGGTCAGCTCACACAGCTTTAAAAAGCACGGTGTCTAGCACATGCTTGGCACATGCTTGTGGGTTTGACTGAATTTAAAGCAATTATATAAGGAAACATTGGTCTTTCATTGGAACTTCAGAATACAGCATGCTTGAAATAAAAACAAGAAAATCAAACGCTTTTAAAGGAAATTTTTTTCTCAGGGCTAAGATAAGCTTTTAAAACATACTTAATTTTTAAAGTACTTACAGTTAAGAAATGGGTTCTCAGCAGGAAGTATCTTGTGGCCTGTGAAAAATCTCACTACAAATGAAAGATAGTGAAATGGAGAAGTCGGCGTGTTTCTATTGCCATATGCAGTTCAAAGAACAGATTCAGAGGTTTTTATTGGCCAGGGTAATGCAGGCAGCAAAGAGATTTCAAGGTGTTTTTCTGTTATCTTGAAAATGAAAATATTTCCTGCCCAGAGAGGCCTGATCTTTCTCCTACATTGTGTTAAGTACACTCATATATTTTTTTAGGGTGAAAAAGATTTGATTCATTATATAATTTGCTTTTATGTACCTGACAGAGTTTACCAATATTTAAAATTTACTTTCTCCTTGTAATACAATAAATAACTGTGATTTAGTGTATATTTATTGGAGAGCTTACAGGTAGTATTTAGGAGAAAAAAGGCTCCCTGGAATTCCCTGCTTAATCAGACATGTCTCTCTTTTTTTCCTGCTACTTTGGATTCCTTTCTTTGTTTTCCCGAACATTAATTTCCTTACTGTATGGTAGGTATTGTTCTAAATGCTCTGTGTATGTTACATTGAATTCTACCCATAACTTTCTGGTATGGTTAGGTTATTGTCCTCATCTAACCGATGAGGAAACTGAGTCACAGCACTGGTAGGTGGCTAGGAGGTGGCAGCTAGGGATTGGCTGAGATGGGACTCTGTGCACTCTGGCGTCTGCACCCCATATTTACTGCTTAACATTCTCACTGTACCCTCTAACACTCACCTTGCTCTAGTGGGAAATATTTGCTGCTCCAATAATCTCAGAGCGGGTGAGAAGAAGGTGTTCACTGTCACTTTTGAAAGGTTTAAATTATAGAATCAGAAATTGAAAGATTATGAACAAGTATTTCAAAAGGAAGGAATAAAAATGTAAAAAAGTGGTAAAAAATATTGGACTTGATGCAGTAAAAAGAGTCATAGTTTGTAGCTGAGCTGACATGGGATAAAATGCTAGCTGTGCAACTTGTTAGCTATGTGGTCTCAAAAGGCTACTCAAAAACATGAGCTTTGGTTTCCTCACCTCTAAAGTTAGAAAAATAAAGTTTACCTATCAAAGTCATTTAAGGAGTCAGTGATGATGCTTGGCCCATTTTAATGTTTACTTCATGTAAGCTCATATCACTGAAAGATGCTTGTGATACCAACTATAATCTGAAACAATAATCTTCCCCACCCCCCACAGAGATGACTATCAGTCTTGACAAGATCTTACAAAATGGGTGGACGTGTTGATTTCCGGTGACATTAAAAATCGGCACTCTTTTTTTGGAAGGCAGTATTGGCAATACAGTTCATAGCAGAGTAAAAAAATACTTATCCTTTGGCCCTGCAATTTCACTAAGAGTGTCTCCTTAAATTTTGCACCCATAAACCCCCTGTTTGCCTCACTCTGTCCCAGCCCTGAATGAATACATGAAGGAAAGGGTCAAATCACATCATGTCTGTGTTTAGCATTATGTTACTCAGAATGGGTAATAAAGTTGCTTCATTACCTAGCTCATCCCTTTGAGGTATGGCAGGGAGAATTCGAGAAGAATGCAAGATGACATAATGCACACAGCTGGAAAGTGTGGGCAGAATACCAAGTAATAGGAGTTGATTATTGGTGAGTTCCACCTTAGGTTGGGAAAGTAAATGAATTCTATGTGGAGTAAACCTTGAAAGAGGATTTGAATGAGTGCTCATGGCTAATGTGGAATAGAATGAGCCAGGATGAAGAGAGAGGAATTGTCGGGAAAGGCAAGTGACTACTTTGCTGACCCAATACCTTGACTTAATGGGGATAATGGGATAAATTAAAAATAGGGTCCATGCTAGAAAAACTTTATACTTTACATGTCCTCAGAAGGTCTAATAGACACCTCAAACTTAACATATCCCCATTAAAACTTTGGATTTCCATCCTCAAAAAATGCTTCTATCAACTCGCTTACTCAGGAAATGATAAGGGTTTTATAAGCCCTGTACCAGGAGCTGGGAACAAAGACTAAATACGTATTTATTATGTCACAGTGCTCCAGCCTGGAAAGAGGTGGATTATAGAATGGCTACCCTACTGAACTCTTACTTGTGGTTCATAGGCTGTGTTGGAGAGAAGGTTTCATATGACTCTACTTGGCTTTCAGATATTCTTTAGATCATTTTTATTTAAGCCTACAATTCAGTTGACAGAATTATATGGACCTATCATCTGGCTTCAACAGTTATCAACTCATGACTTACACTGTTTTGCTTATACTTGCCCCAAAGTACAACTTCTTTCTCCAATGTATATATATACTTTATTTGGACTTTGGTACAAACTAGTCAACTACCTAAAAGGAATTTGACATCATCAGAAAAACTTGAACACTGATTGAATATTTGATGATATTAAGAAATTTGGAGGGGAGCTCAGTGAAATATTTTTGGTTTGTGGGTATTTTTAAGAGTTTCTTTTAGAGATAACACTAAAATATTTACTGATGAAATGATATGATGAAATAATCCAGGGGAAGTCTAGATTATTCTGTAGCAAATTCCAGACATCATTTCATTAAATATATCAGTATTTACTGATATTTACTGCTATCAAAAGTATCTGGAAATATTTTCAGTATGTCTCTGGCAGATAAATATCAGTAAATATTTCAGTAATATCACTAAAATGAACTCTTAAAAACACCCTCAGACCAAAAAGTTTATATCTAGCTCCCTCCAAATTTCTCAATATCATAAAATAGTCATTGTTCCAAGTTTTTCTAATGAACTCATACTTTTTTTAGTTAGTTGTTTAGTTTGTATCGAAGTCTAAACAAGTTGTATACATTGCCACTGCCTGATGTATCTCTTCAATCTTTTTTTATTCTATAAAAGTCCTCTCTGTTTTCCCTCCTCCTCTCACCCTCCTTCCCATACACAATTTTTGTAGGAAATAAGCCTGATTGTCTTTCGTGTTTCCTGCAGTCCAAATTTTGTAGATTATACCTCTATGTCCATTTAACATATTCCTCTGCCCCCTGTATTTTCTGTATAGTGGTTAGATCTACATCTAGTTAGACCTAGAAGCTTGATTAGATTCTGATCAAGATCACTTCTTAGGTATTGCTGTATACTTCCATAAGGCTCATAATATTTAGTTGTATTTATTTCTCTGATGTTCATTGATGATGATTGCTTAGGTCCATTCTTCCATTACAGGTTGCAAAACAGTGATATTCAAATTTTAGTACCTTGCGGCAGTGGTGAGAATGTACCTAGGAGACCTCCTACTTCAGAGAACATAATTAACCAACAGCTTCAGCTCCTGTGCTTTGAAATCCAGGATTTTGTTGGTATGGAAGCCATGCCTCCCATGAGCTGCTGCTCCAATGACTGAGTGCAGTGGGGTAGTAAGCAAGTGTGTTTCTGGGAGACACAGACTTAAGTTCACTTTGGCAAACCCTCCTTAGGCCGCACAGCTGGTTAGAATGCTTTCAGCCAGCTTGCTTTCCCTGTCCTTCACTCTGAAGGAGGATTTTCATCACAGTCCAGAGGCTTTCCCAGGCTTTACCTGCTCTTTCCATGTTTTCTTTCACGTGGTCATTTCAGCACATAAAATTTTTGAGTATTTTATCTAGCCTTAGCATCTGCTTCTCAGGGAACAAGCACTAACACACATCGCTTCTTCATTTATTAGCTGGAATGCTTCTAATAAGAGGAAATTCTCATCAACTATTTGGTTACCTTTAGGTGTAATTACTATGAAGAGGCAAATAAATGTTTGGTTATTCCTTTATTTACCAGTTTTCAAAATAATGAGTTGTACCCTGGCATTTTCCACAAGTATTCAGCAAGTAAAAAAAAAAATGTACCATTTAAACTCATGCATATAAACATATTTGATGTGTTTCAGTCCTGTGGTATTATATTGATGCTAAAATCAGTTGTTGATAGATTTTCTGCTTTCTTTATGACAAGATGTTCCCAGATCATTTTATGTATTTTCTGAGATATCTATGCCTATTTATCTATCATCTATCTATCATCTATCTATCTATCTATCTATCTATCTATCTATCTATCTATCTATCTATCTATCTATCTATCATCTATCCATCCATCCATCTATCTATCATCTACCTATCTATATCTATCTATCTACATCTGAGAAATACATATATATTTCAGACCTGAAATTGGTAATTTCTCTAAGGAGTCCTGGCTTATAAAAGTTTATCAAGGGGTTTAACATCTGTGAAAAAATGAAGACGGATTTAGCAGAGGAGGCATTATGCTATCATCAGACAAACTCTGCCAGTAAACCACATTCCTCACAGCTGGGCAGCCAGTCCTTTCTTGAGGGGAATGTAGGTGGTGCAGTTCAATGCCAGCATAGCTTGAGACCCAGGCCTAGTCAATCATAGAGCTCTATGCCCTTGGAAACTGCTTGAACTGAAAGATTGCACGTATGACCCAAATAGGGCCAATTCATATTCTCTGAAGGTTGTTAGAAGGAAGCCAGAAGGAGGAGGCTCTTCTCTGCTGGAATTGTTTTACTAGAGTGACAGCCTGGCGCTGCCAGTGGCCCTGCTTCTCGGCTACCTGGAGGAAGTGTGTCTGTGGCAGGAGAGAATGATTCCAATGTGCAGGCTGAGATGAGAGGAGGGGCGAGATTTGAAGGAGTATGGGGCTTCCACTCCTCACCCAGGCCCTGACATTCCTTAGAAGCTTCTCCAATAAACCTCCTAGCTGTGAGTCAGCGAACAACCATCTCCCTTTTTTTACTTTGCTTAAAAAAGCTAATGTTGAATTTAATTTCTATCACTTCACAGCTGAAAACCCCTTGAGTAATAACTTAGCACTGTCTTAGTCGTAGAAAACTACTCTTTGAGAGATCAGTCAAGACTGGTTCTTATTTGATTTGAACTCCCAAAAAAGAAACAAAAACACCATCAAGGAAAGATTGTTTTTAGCATTCCATTTACAAGGTTTTAGCAGTTGCTGGCTACTGATTGAGGCATATATATAGAGAGAGATGTTGGAGAGATCAGAGAAGATTTTTTTTCCTCTCCAAGTGCCTAAATATTTTTTAAAAATTTGAAAAAATTTTTGACTTAGTAGAGAAGTTGCAAAAATAGGATGGAG